GTGGGCAGGGAGGAAGGTGTCATGAACAGAATCACTCCCCCGTTCACCACTGTTCACACAACCCCTGTACTGGCTTCTGAATGCAGGCTTGTGAAAAGGCAACAACTATGCTAACAATATTTGAAATGATGCAATTTACAAACTGATATGAGATATATAAGAACCTCCATAAATAAGCACAGGATATGCAAATGAAATGTCACAAAAGAGGTAATGCCAATGTACAAAAAACAGTCGAGAAGCTGTACACCCTTGCTTACTGCAAGTGAAAACAAACTCGGTGTACCACAGCACATCTACTGAAGCAGTAAAACGTTTACATAAATGTCTATAAAATGGTTATTTAACATATAAGTATTAACAATTTAATACTATGTGATTGGAGATGAAAGAGATATGCTCATTCATCTTTGCACTGTAAAAGAAGAGAGAATTCTAGAAAGTCAGAAAGTGTTCCTACCTCTCGACCCAATCTAGTGCTTCCACTCTAAGGACTTCATCAAATTTGCATGAAGGTATTAAATGAAGTTTTGCAGCCAACAGCAACAACCTGAAAGTAGCTCTCATGTTCCGCATCCGGAGAACGTGCTACGGACAGATCAACATGACATCACTACTAACCATCATTAAGCACACTACACACCTGCTCTGCCAATACAGTCGCCACTAGCCATATGGAGCTATTTAAACAAAACTGTATTTAAAATTCAATCCCTCAGTCAAAACTAGTCATATTTCAAGGGCTCACCTAGCTATATGGCTAGTGACTATTATCTTAGGTACTGCAGAGAACATTTCCATCATCACAAAAACTTCTTTTGATGGTGCTTTTTGATCTACATAGCTACCTGCGCCTCCTCTCTCCTCCTCCCCTACATGCACCCATTTACCGAGAAACATCTTCTTAACCTTCAGGTCTTAGCCTAAGGCTCAACTACCACGTGAGGCTTCCCCTGATTTACCCAGGAAATGTAGGTATACCTTCTTGTAGTCTCATTAGAGCTTGATAACCCCAGTACAAAAATTATGTCACATATAAGCATACCATTTTCCCCACCACAATCCTGTAAAAGCTTTTTCAAGGAGAAACCAACCAACTTTTATCCAAGGGGCTCTGAACTGTTCTGGCACATACAGGACCTCGATAATTTGTTATATTCTTAGAACGTTACCAAAGACACCAGAGATGTGGACTGTGAATACAGGTGGAAAATGTTTATGAATAAGGAAGGCAATGCTTCAAAGAAAAACTTGGTTAGGTTGGCAGGCTCACAAGTGATTTTTTTTTTTTAAACTACTAATTCTTTACATTTTCTCAGCACCTAACACAAGGAGCCTTGTTCACAGAGGTGTTCAGTAAATATTTGTGGAATAGTTTCTGGATTAAAAAAAAAAGACACCAAGAATGAACCCTGTGGTAAACTATGGACTCTGGGTGATACTGATGTGTTAGGGAGGTTCATGTACTGCTCATGTTGGAGATACTGATGATGGGGAAGCTACGCATGTTCCAGGTGAGGGAAATCTCTGCGTGTTCCACTTCACAGTGCTGTGAATCTAAAACTGCTCTAAAAAATCAAATCTATTTAAAAAAAAAGATACAGATGCTAAATTAGAAATCAAATTTAGATTATTATGGTATTAAAAGCATATGTTTACATGTTAGATCCCCAAATTTTGTTCAATAATAATACATATCATAGATTTATGTTAAATTTTAAAAATTAAACCTCAGATTTCTAACCCAAATAAGATTTGTTTCCAGTGCATAGAAAATCTGACTGAAATAATCCCAGATGCGGTGTTTTGGCATGCTATCAATACACTAGCTCAACTTCCATGCTTAATAAGCACCTACCTAAGCAAAGCACTGTGGCCACAGTGGTGAACAAGATAATTTCTGCTCTCACAATATTTTTTTCCAAACAAGAAACGTATTTTGCAAGATAAATGTTTTTATACTCAACTATCAACAACAGATATCCCCAGAATGGTGGAAACAATCATCAACCATCTTCTATTATCCTTATTTTTCAAATAATTAAAAAATTTGTATTAACTATTTGAGAAAGTAGTACATGACCTGATTTAAAACAAAAAGTTAATGCTTCATTTACTTGGCATCCTTGGGAGACTTGGTGCTCCACATAAATGAATCTTCCACATAACTCGGGCTTGTCCATTTAAATATCAACACTTAAAATGTTCGGCATGGAGGTTTTTTTTTTTTAAACAGCACAAATCTTTCAACTTTTAAAAACAGACTCCATTAAATGTTATTTTGACTAATGTCAAAAACATAACTGTGTTGTATAACACTCAAGATGCCAAACTTTATGTCCTTTTTAAAAGTTTTTGGCTTTGAAGAGCGTTTCTTCTGACCCCGAGCTTTTGGTGCGTCAGCTGTCAACTTTTGCTGCTATCAGTATGAACCTGACTCTAGCAGCCTCCCATCCCCCTTCAAATGTGCTGCTACTTGGAAAACAAGTTCGTCAGAATTTTGCCTAAAACACACTGGCTTTGAGAGGATCTCCAAATCTACTTTGGTCGCTCAGAGTCTTCGCTTACTTCCTGAATCTGTTAAAGTCTGGAGAGCCAAGTTTTGGATAAAAGAGTTACTGCTTTACCTGGATGAAAGTCCTTTCGTTGATGTCCTATTTTCAACTGATGCTCAGTCAGAGATAAAACTTAAAACTTCATTAGCCATTCACTCATTCAACCAATATTACTAAGTCCCTACTAAAAACTGGGCTCCCATATTACAATGAAAATGGAATTGAGAACATATTTTAAAATACAAGTACTCTAATATAAATAACTGTTCTACTAGTGCTTAAGGAAAAAAAAAAGAAAAACAGATTTCTTAAAGTCTTTTAAATGAAACTACAAAACCACCCAAACTTCTTATAATTCCTTTAACTTAAGACTTAGAAACTGAAGATTCAAGGGTAAAGAAAGCTTTTGATTTAACCAAATATTTACTTTATACAGCTCTGAATAAGATTCCAAGATTTTCTACCTCTTTTTCAGTCTATTACAAATTCCCATCTGGCCCTAAAGAAATCACTATGACATATGTTTTAGTATTAAATGATAATCAAAGTCTTGATAATGATAAATATACCCATTCAGCATCATGGTAAGTTTACCGTCATTTTAATACTGTGCATCGCTAATTTGAAAAAAGTGTTAGTTCAGGAAAACTTCTGTCCAAGTTTTCAGAAGTTCCTATACACTTCACTTTGGGGTACAAACAATTTCTTTTAAGCTTTAATAGTAAGTATGGTGTGGCTATACAATATTTGCTTTATCTGCCAATCATATTTTTTAAATTCCATTACCTATTTAAATCTAAGGCTAGGAAATGAGTCAAGAAGGAATGGAGCTTAAAGTTGGTCTCTGTGGATTAATTAAAACATCAGGTAAACTCCCTGGCATCAGCCTTACTTGTTTTAACTCCCTTGGAATCTCCCATCTCATTCATTTTCTCCTTGGGGAGCACAAGTAACTTTATTCACATTTTATAATTTTACAAATGAGTACTGATTGCCTTGATTATTTAGACTGAACCGGAAATGGGTATTAGTCACGTGCTGCTGATATAAGAAATGAAAAAGTTACTACCATTAAAAACCTTTTTAATGCATTAGTATCTCTTCAGTATTAAATTTGGAACCTGAAAATGCTTTAAGCAGTACTGTAAAGGCAGATCACAGACCTAACTTTAAAAGTAACTATGTAGCATTATTTTTAGATGTCACTTAATATTATAGTAATCTTTACAAGTTGACTCTGACCTCATTAGCATACCACCTTGTCCTGCAAAAGAAGTCTGATTTTAAATAAAAACAATTCACAGAGAAACCCAAATAATAGGCTACTGCTCTCTCTCTACAAACAATTTAGGCAAAGAAGCAAATGGCAAATATTTACTGGACACACCTACTGTAAGTAAATCCCTATCGGGTGCTATTCACATTACCAGTAAAACCCAAAAGAAATACAGACCGGGCTCAAGATATTTACAATATAATAGAAGAAAAACATATACCCCCATAAAAGAAGCTAATGTTAATCAACAGGAAAAATAAATATACGTGATTTAAAAAGTGATCGTGAACATGTGACGTTCTGGCAGCAGAAATGGAGGGCACTCACTCAGTTCAAATGTAAACAAAACAAAATTCTTTTAACCTCCCTATTTTAAATCCGGCAATCAAAATCAGCCAGAAGTAGAAGCTGGGCCAACAGCATCACCACAGAAAAAACAAAACACGAAATTCTCAGGGGCAACCGGTATTGGCCCATTCAAAACAAAGTCTTCCTGGGAGTGCTCCAACAGTAGTTTTTCTCTTAAAACCTCCTTATCAAATGAAAAACAAAACTGGTTCCTGGCTATCAACTTTACGAAAACCGAAGCTTCGACGAAGCACTCTGGAGACCGATACCACTTAGGGTCCATTCACATCATCGAAGGAGTCGGGGAGAAGAGCAACCGGGAATCGGCCTATTGTTCGGAGGACCGCAGGACCGTCCGAGCACCGCAGGGCGCGCGGGAGCTGCGGGAGGCGAGGCGCGCACCCAGCACAGGTGTGTGGGCGTGAGGGTGGCCAGGTGTGCCCAGGGCCACCGCCGACGAAGAGAGTCCCAAATTCCAGACCGAGACGTCGAGAAAGGGAGGAAAACGAAGTCATTCCTGAGTCTTAAGCCGCTGAGCACGGAGGGGGGAGGGCCTGGGAAGGGTCTGCAGGGCTCCCAGAGCCCACCCGGGTCCAGGCTTGAGCAGGCCGGGGGGCTGAAGCCCCGAGGGTCAAGAAAAAGGCTCCCGAATCGAGGGGCCAGACTAGGAATCCCCGAACAATGGGCAGTAGTGGATCTGGGGTGAACGGCGAGGACTGGGGAGTAGGGGTCGCGGAGGTGAAGCCAGGTGGGAGGGGGGTAACAACAGAGAAGCCCCCAGGCGTGGGCCCCCCAGTGGCTGCGGCGGCGGCGGCGCTTACCTGTGATAGCTGCCGGGGATTGGGGCAGCCGAAGAGCGCGGAACTGGAGCTGAAGCTGATGGCTCCTCGGCGGCTGAGGACGTGCTGGGGGACCGGCCTGTCCAGGGGCAGCACCGGCAGCTGGTAACATACTTCCATTGAATACGCCCGCCCTGCCCCCGCGCGGCGCCCGCCCTGCCGCGGCCGCCGGCCCCTGCGCTGGGAAGGGGCCGCGGCTCGGGGGCGCCGGGCCGAGGCGGGGGCAGGGCGGGCGGGCGTCGACCCCTGGCGGGGAAGCCGCGCTCACGCCTCCCCCACCCCAACACTCCACCCGGGTTGCCGGCGGCAAGGCGCTGCGGCGGCCGCAGCGACGGTTACGAAGAGCAGCGCGCTCCCGGCTCCGGGGTGCAAGCGGGGGCAGCACGAGCCAAGTCGGCGGGGGAACCCCGGCGCCGCCAGGCTCTTCGGCCGAGAGGAGAGGGTCCGGGGCCAGTGGCGCAGGAGCGGCGCAAGGACAGAGCAAAGCGGTGCAAGAAAAGACTGCTGGAGCCAGCGGCGAGACCCAGGGCGCGCGGGGCTCGGGTGCAGCCACCAGCTCCGGCCGCCGCCGCCGCCGCGGTCCTGCCCCTCCCCTCCCCTCCCCCGGAGCCTGACTTCACTCCGCCACCAGCGCGAGCCCGGCGTAATTCACACTTTGCAGCCGCGGACCCTGGGCCAACCACCGCCGCCGCCACCGTGACGTCACGACGCTGCGCCGCAGGCCCCGCGCCGCCGCAGCGTCCAGGGAGACCGGCTAGCAGCGGAGGGGTTGAGCAGCCCTCCTCCCGTGCCGCACCTTGGAGCTCAGTCACCGTCCTCTCCCGCTTCACGCTGCCCTCCTCCCCCACCAATCCTCGTCCTGCAGGCCCCCCAGCCAAGGCGCGTGCGCACGAGGCCCCACCGTTTGGGGACATTCCCCTTATCGCTAAACTCTGGCGTTCGGGCGCGCTGAGGGTGTGGGGTGGGCTCAGCCTACACTAGAGGCGCGGTTCCGGCTTTTCGGCTCCAAAAACCCAAAGCACGCGGCCCACTCGCTAAGCTCAGCCGCGACCGCGGGGTCACCGCCGTGTTTCCCTCCTCGAATTCCCATTCTTGGGCTTCGCTCGGGACCGCTGCGGCAGTGACGTCAGCGGGCCGCGCGGGCACCGTCCTCCCCGCTACGTCACTGCCAGTCCCCCGGCGGGGTCGGACTGGGCTCTCCCCTGGCAGGTGCGGCCCCGGGGCCGTCCCAGGCGGAGGGGCCAAGAGCAGAGACGAGAGCGCGGGCGTGGGGAGGGGGCGAGGGGTGGGGAGGGAACACCGAGACTGAGAAAGAAGAAGTGAGAGTATGCACTGGAAAATATGAGAAGGGGAGGATGAAAATGAGAAGCCAGAGCGGGAAAGGAGACTGCATGCCCTTTTACCAAAAGTGTTTTCGTTTCTTGGCTTTGATTTGTAGAAGGCAGGAGAAAATAACTCTTGACATGGTTTGTAAACTGCAGGTTCATTTTGTTAACATTTCCTCCCAAACCATCAAAGCTTTTCAGCTGCAACCCTTTGTTTCAAGTACATTCCAGCCGCTGGGACATCAGCCTGAACAAGCTTTCCCCTGCTGGCAAAACTGATTTGGCTCTGCTTTCAGGTCACCCAAGCTTCCACTTCTATGCTATGACCAGCCACTGGCAAGGTGGCAGGTCTCTGAAAGTACTGCATAGCCAGTACCGATGAGATCAGGTAACATGTGCTGTTGATCCCATAAATCAACAGACGTCTACAAGACCTTTTATCGTCTTTCCATGACATCTGTTTCTTTTATATCACTTAAAACTTTCTACCTTCTCGTGGGCATTTTTCTACTTGTCTGCTTTCTACTATTAAAAGGATATCACTTCCAATGTGGTTTCATGGATTTTTGTCTTCACTAGATGGTAAGCTTCCCTTCAGCGCAACTGTTACCAACCGGGGTTCTTGTACTCATTACTAAGAGGCCAGACGGGAAGCTCAAGCAAGGCTTTATTGGGCCTCTTGCTACTGCAGGAGGGAGTGAAAACAAATAACAGGTTCCCTTGCTAACTGGGCGGGCGGGGGGAGGGGGTGAGGTCCTGAGCTGGTCCCTAAGATGGAGTGAGGGAGGGGAGGATCCTGGGGTCGTGCTGGGTGGGTGGCTTAGGTAGTCTACCCACCCCTTTGACGGTGTTGTGTGCAGGGATCCTGCACAGTACCCTGCTTTTGCTCCGGACACCTCAGAAGTGTCAGGTGGGTTTTTGGTCTTTTTGTATCTTGTTGTTCATAATTTGCCCCAGCTGTGTATGCATGCATTTATTTTTAGTCCCTTATTGTTTCTTTGTATTCTCTTGCTTGAGGAGCTGTTGGTCCAGGTGTAAATACTGCAGCAGAGGGTCTCAGGTCCCAGCCTGTCTCCCAACAGCTGACCCAAGTCATCTCTGAAACCCTAATCACTCCCACGACGTCTAGCAGATTTGAGCATCCTCTGTACACTTGTGATTAAGCTGAGTTCTCCCTCGTATTTACATCTGACAAAACCCCCATGAGGTAATAGTTTCTAAATTGAAAGGAGGCTCAGGGAAACATGACTTGCCTTAGATCTTCCACAGATAAATGGCAGAACTTACCTCAAATAATGTCTGAATTCTGTGTTCATCTAAACACCCAGAAAGCAGTATCGGTGTGATATCAGACAGTATATGCCAAGTAACTCTGTCATATTTAATAACATCTAAGAGACTTGATGAAATCATTTAACAAGACTCAGATCTCCCTCAGCAGAGAGGGGAGCTAACATTTACTATGCACCCACTGTGAACTGTGATAGGTATTCTATACAGTGTTTAACTTAGCCCTGTGCAACAGCTGCAAAAGTAAAAACTTGATCCCAACTCTACAGATGGGGAATCAGTTTTCGAAGCCATAAATCATTTGTGCCACTGAACCCTGTTCTGTATGATTTCAGAGCCATGCATTTCCACCACACCGTGTGGTTGCTCAAGACCAGAACTTCAGCTGTTTTCAGTGTTCTTTACTGTATTGGAGAGTGTATTAGGGTTCTTCAGAAAAGCAGAACCTATAAAGTATATACAGAGCCAGGGAGAGAGAGCTAGGGAGAGAGAGCAAGAGAGAGGGAGAGCAAGATTGATTTGCCACACATGTTCCTCCTCCAGAGGTCAGAGAAGCTGGAGGAGCTGCCCCCTTGCCAGTGAGGAGAGCTAGTGGATCATGTGCAAAATCACAGTGGTGCCTGGGACCCTGCAGGGACCTTTCAAGTGTAATGGCTGGTGCTTCACTTCCACTTTTTAATTCTTTTGTAAATTTCTATTGTGGCCAACCATAACCAAAACTATAAAAGGAAGAGAATTCTGGGAAATGTAGTTCCAACTTAGCTAAGCTGTCAGAACATAACCACCCCAGTCCAACACTTGCCAACTTGACATCCATACACACTCTTTTAATCGTATTTAATTTTCAAATAAAGACGATAGCAAAATCATGCCTCTGTCCATATGATGCAACTCTCTTTCATATAACCCAAAACAGCTCCCTCCTTCACCAAGAGGATGGAGTCTTTGAGTGATGTTAATTCCTCTTCTTGACGAGTCGCAGTATATACCTTGGCTATTCTGTAACTTATATACTAAGATATAAGTTTACCTACTATTAACACATCATAGGGGAATGAGAGAGGAGTAAAAGGAAATAATTGGTTAATAAATACACAGATGTAATAAAGATAAAATAAATACACAGATAAATTCATATCAAAATTAGGAAAAATGCTCAGAACTGTTATAGTCCTTGTATCTGCAACTGAAAACATGATCATAATTACTATTTATAACTATTTTCTTGCTCCCATTACCTGTCTCATATCCCGTTTGCCTTCAGCAAGCATCTCAGCTGAAAATGATGTGGGTCACTCCACTTGCCTTGTGGAGTGACCCAAACCTTCATTCCTAAAGGATCTGGGCCAGCAGAGGTTCTACTGCTATCAGTAAGAGTATTCTTGGTTGTAGTTCTCCACTGTCATAACACGGAGCATTGGAGTACTAAGTACTAAGAGGCACCCCCAAGGACTCTCCTGCATTCCAGCCATATTCCTCCCTTTTCCCATTGTGTAGCAACAGCTCAAAATCTGCTTAGTAGCCAGGGTCAATCATCCCAGGCAGTAGACTAACCCCTTTCTTTGCATGTTGGTTAACTAGCACAAGGCTCCCCAAATGGCCAAGTGGCAGTCTCAACTTCCAGTTTAATTGAACTCTTGCTGTGTACCCTGGTGGAGACATTCTTCTTTGAGAACGAAGACCTCTTTGGGCTCTGGACCAGGAGAGCCCAAAGTTGCAGGAATGGGAAGCAAAATTTTGCACTAGGGGTAAAAGTCAGAGGATCTACTGCCAGTCCCACTCCTTGATTCCTGGATCATGGATATACATTTAGATTTAGAACATACGCCAAAACCCGGAGAATATTATCCTCGCTACATGAGGTATTGCCACCCAGTTGGTACGACCGATTATCGAGTCTTCAAAAGGCCATTCCAATGAACCTTAAAACATGCTAAGTGAAAGAAGCCAGATACAAAATGCTAAATATTGTATGACTCCATTTATATGAAATATCCAGAACAGGCAAAACCATAGAGACAGAAAGCTAATTAGTGCTCGCCAGGGGCTGGGGAGAGGGAGGAATGGGGAGGCTGCTTAATGGGCATGGGGTTTCCTTCTGGAGTACTGAAAAGGTTCTGGAGCTAGATAGAGGTGATGGTTGCACAGCATTGTGGACGTCCTTAATGCCACTGAATTGTACATTTTTAAATGGTTAAAACTGTAATTTTATCACAATGAAGAGAAAGGCCATTTGATCATCCTATTAAGCCAGCTACTTCAGGGTAATGGGCAACATAATAAGACCAGTAAATTCTATGAGCAGGAACCCATTGCTTTATTTGCTGTAAAATGAGTTTCTTGGTTAGAAGTAACACTGGGTGGAATAGTGTGATGGTGTAAGTCCATGCATGGTGGTTTTGATAGAAGCATTGCAACCGGGGAAGGAAACTCATTTCCAGAATAAGTATGTATTCAGGGAGAAAAAAAGGGCTGCTTCTTCATAATGGAAGAGGCTTAATGCAATGTACCTGATGGCTAAGTGATGCCTCCAGGAAACGGAAGCTTAGTCTTACACTCTGCTGTAGGCAACTTGAGCACTTAAGCAATAGCTGTAGCCAGATTGGCCTTGTTGAGTGGAAATCAATCCTGCTAAAGCCACATCTAACCCTCATCCTGCCACCATGGCCACGTTGTTCATGAGTCTGTTGGGCAAGGCCAGGGGTTGATGGAGGAAAAGGCTGACTGACATACACA